GGTCCTGGATTTAACATGGTGGATGCTTACGTGATTCGGAAAAGGAAATCAAAGACGCCGACACGAAGTGGACCTACTGGTTATACTGTAATTAAGATTGAGATTGAATTGGGATTTGACCAACAAACTTGATATTAGTTATTTTTCTTCTCATTGGTCAAATTTCAATCCAATTTCAACTTCAATCGCTAGTGTGATTGCGGCTTAATTTCCAAACGCCAATCTCAATCTTAGTCTGCTGTGTTCTCATTGGCTGAGCTTTAATTTCAATCTTAATCTCATCACGCATTCATCACGCATGCCCCCGTTAGTTAAATGACAAAAAATCCAAACACAAAGTCACATATTTTGATGGTAAAACAGGAAAAAAGAGAGAGATGGAATGACATATGTTGTTTTATCATGTTTAGTAAAGTGCAGAAACACATCCTGTTGTAGTATAAATAAAAAATGTGTATGTACAAATACACAATACTGAAATAAAGACAACAAGTGTATAAACATAAATATTATGCAATATTTATATATTATATGTACGTAATATTATAATATGAATTTTTTATAATATTTTATAATATTATATGTATATACATATATGTAATACATGTACATAATGCATATACATGTGCATAATGCATTACATAATGCATATATATAGGTACATATAATATTATGTATTATAGTTATATATAATTATGTATTAAAATTATGTATTATATTAATTATATGTATAAATTATTTTATTAGTTCAAATAATTATTTTTAACAGTATGGGACATTTACTTAGCTTTTAAAATCAGAGTAAAGTATAAAATATCTATCAATTGAATAATTAGCGGATACAAACATATCATATATAAATATAAATATATATATATATATATATTATATATATACATACGTGAACATTAAATGTATAACCTTATTTCTTCTTTCTGCAAAAACCAAATTGTAATTTCGCGCGTATCATCAGCGCCCTCGCGATTGCGCACGCGCACTTCGCGATTCGTGCGCGGCGCCAAAGGTGTTCCTCCTTCGCGATGTCGTTATATTCCGAAAATTTCAGATAAATTTCCGCCGAACGATCGCGTCGTCGTTTTCGCTCGTAAATACGCGATACTATCCGTTACACGCGCGCGTGCAGTTCGACGCGCGGCGAATGCGGGACACGTGGGACGACAGGTAAGTGGCCGGTACAGGAAGCGGGTTGGACGACTCGAGCCGCGTCACGTTGAGCAACCTAGTGCCGTCAGTCGCCGCAGGTCGATGGTGTTGTCCGTACCGACGGTCCGTCCGTGGTCGCGCTCGCGATGCGTCCACCGTCGCGGCGTTATGTTTCTGCACATGGCCGTGCCGCTTGGCGGATCTTCGTGTTGCTCCGCGGTTCTCGGCGACCCACCACTGGTAAACGTGCCGTTTTTACGACCGATTTCGCTCGCCACGAAGCGGGAGACGCGCGTTCCTCTCGCTGAAATACGTGAGAAGCTGATTTTCGCGGCATGAGAGAGATACTTCGGTCGGTTCGATGGGAGACGCATTTCACCGCTATTTATCTCTTACTACTCGCACTACCGCTCTCACTCGCCGCGGTACACTCGCACTCTTGTAGCTACGGTGCGTTTTGCATCGCCCTGTTGTTTGGCGCACCGCGACGCGAACCGCTGTCTTCTCGGCATACCGAGAACGATATCCTCGTCGCGATCGTTCTTCTTATGCATCTTCTGAAGGAATTGTCAAGTGCATTACATAGGCGTCGAGTATAATCGTGTAATATTCAAGGACATCGAAACATCTCGAACTCGTACATTTTCTATTTTTTTATAAGAATTTCTGTATCCGGGCGAAGTAGCGATACCTTCATTTGTTTTTTTCTGCTTCTGTAGCGGTCGTTCTTATCGATCTTGTGCAAAAAATTTTTTGTTTAAATACGCGTACAAGCGGTGATTTTTTTTCTACTTAAAATGTGTTGATATTTTATGAATAACGAATATAATTTTCTCTTAATATATTTATATGTATATTATTTTTGATAGGATATAACTTTTACAGGATTGTATCCAACACTTTTAAAGAACTTTATTATACTTCCACATCCACCATGACTACATCTTCCGAAGATGTCCTGATGCAAGTGAGCCAAGTACGTTATAAAAAAGGAGATGGCACCTTATATGTGATGAACGAACGAATAGCATGGATGCTCGATAACAGAGATACTGTGTCTGTCAGCCATAAATATGCTGATATTAAATGTAAGATCTCAAGAAGTTATGTAAATATAAGTTGATATATAAGTTGATGTAAATATAAGTTGATATAATATATAAGCTGATGTAAATATAAGTTGATATTATAAATGTACAGTCAAACCTCGATAACTCAAATCTCAAGGGAAGAGAAATATAAAAATCTTTGAATTATAAGTTTTGATTTATCAAAGTTTGAGTAGAATTAACATGAAAACTCGACTTATGGAAGGTTTGTACGAGAGTTTATAATTTTCCGATTATAATATTGGCTTTTAAAGGAAAAAATTTGAGTGGTTTTCGAGTTATAGAAGTTTGAACTATTCAACTATCTCGACTGTATTAGCTTTTTGTGTGTTATGTCTATATGTATATGTCATTGTAAACCTTTATGAAACAGTGTATGCAAATATACAAATTATATATTGATTAATAAACAAAATAAATTGATAAATGAAATAAATTGATTCCTTCTTTTGCAGTGCAAAAAATATCACCAGAGGGAAAATCAAAAATACAACTACAAGTGGTGTTACACGATGGTACATCGTCTACATTTCATTTTGTAAATAAAAATGGACAAGAAGCACAAATTAAAGATCGTGATGATGTAAAGGAGTTGTTGCAACAGCTGCTACCAAAATTTAAGCGGAAAGTTAACAAGGAGCTTGAAGAGAAGAATAGGTAAAAGGAAGTGAAACGTTTAAGGGGGGAATCTCCTTTAGAAAACTAAAAAAAAAACTGATTTTTAAGATTTTTTTTTAACTAAAATGAAATTGAATAATTTCAAAAGTTTAACAGTTTTACTGTATATTTGAGCAGTGAAAAAATTTTTTTATTAATATGTTTTGTAATAAATAATAAAATGTCTTTGTAACGCTGCACTGGAGTTGTGTACAATCTAAGAGATGTAATTTTCGTTCTAAAATGAAACCAAATTTCTTAATTTTTATAAAATTATCTTTTATATGAACTAACAATATTACAAAAAAAATTTAATTAAACCATTTTTTTGCAAGAAACTCCAAATTTTTTTATTAAAATTTTAATTTTTTTTTTTAAATTGTCATAATTTATTCAATTTTTGAAATTTTTAAAGTTCTGTTCATATAGAAGATAATTTTATAAAAATTAAGAAAAAAATTGGTTTTTTTGTGTCAGACAAAAATTACGCCTCCTAGATTGTATACAATCGAACAACTTCAGTGGCGCGATGTTATTAAAATATTCTATTATTTATTAAACAACCTTTATTAAAAAACAACCTTTAAACCATTACAACTCAAAAAATTACACTAACCACAATGTCGGTCTGACAGACTGCTATTATACTCTTGCTAATTTTATAAGTTATGTATAATAAAAATGTATGGTTTCTGAATATTTGTGATGGAGAAAAAGAAAACTATGTTTTAATGTGAGGGTTAACAAAAAAATCTCATATACAATAGAAATAAAATATATTTAAATGGTGACAAATAAGAAAATGGTTGACAAGTAACGTTTCAATAGTTTCAATAGCAGTCTGTGAGACTGATAGTGGTTTAAAGGTTAATAAAAAAAATTTTTTAATGTTTAAATATATAATAAAACACACTGTTAAACTTTTGAAATCGTTCACTTTTATTTTAATTGAAAAATAATTCTTAAAAATTACCATTTTTTTAGGCTTGTAAAGCAGAATCCTCCTTTAAGTCAATACGTGTGAAATATGTAACGTGAGTAATTGTGACGAACGATGCATACAAATACATCCTTTTTTTTCTAGAACCCTTCAAGAACATCCTATGTTGCTTCAATTATATCGCGATCTGGTAATCACGCAAGTTATATCATCTGAAGAATTTTGGTCGCAACATGCTGCGGAATATACGCAAGCTAAAAAGATTCAACGTCAAGAGATAGGTGTTAATAGTGCTTTCTTGGTAGGCTTTTATGACAATGTTAGATTTTCACGTAATATATAAATTATTAATAAACTAATAACGGATTAATTGAATCTTTCAGGCGGATATCAAACCACAAACCGATGGTTGCAACGGATTAAAATACAACTTAACTGTCGATGTGATAGAATGTATATTTAAGACTTACCCAGCTGTTAAAAGGAAACATCAAGAAAATGTGCCTCATAAAATGTCAGAATCTGATTTCTGGACGAAATTCTTTCAGTCGCATTATTTTCACAGAGATCGTATCAACGCTGGGACCAAGGATCTTTTTACCGAATGTGCCAAAATAGATGATCAGGAACTTAAGAAAGACCTACAAACTGGGATAAATGATCCTTTGGTGGACATCACTTCTTTTGAGGATCAATCACTGGATGAAAATTATGGAAGTGGATGTAGTAAATCGGACAAAATGTCGGGAAATATGGTACATCAAAATATGATCAAGAGATTTAATCAACATAGTATAATGGTTATGAAAGCCAGCACTGCCAAACAGTCGATGCAAACCAATCAACCACAATTAAATGGATCTACACCATCTGCAAGTAAAATAGCAAATAACGAACTAGAGGATGGACCAAAGACTAAAAAAGTACAACTTTCCATTGCATTTTAGACATTTATAATTTATATTCGATATAATAGAGAATGGTTTATTTAATGTTTTTAAATATACAGGGTGTCCCGAAATTCGCGAATCAAAATATAACAAAAAAGTCTTCGAAAAATTAAGTAAAAAAGTTATTTGTAAATTTTTTAATTTAAGCAGTACTTGAAATATAAAAGTTAGTAAGGTGTATATATTTATAAAAATTTGAAAAATATCAAAGATATATTCTTACATCCAAGACTTTCTTCTCGAAAATGTAATATATTTTTTACAAATTTTTATAAATATATATATATATTTAAAAACATTAAATAAACTAGAATATAAACTACATAATATATATAAAATATGTATATAAATATATATAAACTTAAAAATATATATATTTTTTTTTACAGCGTAAAATACAAGAAAAGATAACTTATGATGATCTTGATAAGAGCTGTGACATAAATACAAATAATGGCGCACCGTTAAATCTAACGCATATAGATAGATATTTGCATGGACCTGTACCAGGATGTGCAAGTACAGAACCGACTTCAGAAGAACTGTTTGTTACGTTAAATCATTTAAAAAGGGAAGCTTCTGGATGGATAACCGGCAGTACTTTACCGCGACAAGCAGCGACTTCTTTAGTTAGTCCAGCCGCGGCAGTGTCAGCTTTAGGTGAATTAACACCCGGCGGATCCTTAATGAAAGGTTTTCGAGAAGAGAGTCTTGGACGTAAGAATGTATCTTTGATATTGAAAATGCCATAGTACAGTCGAACCTTGATAACTCGAATCTCAAGGGAAGAGAAATATAAAAATCTTTGAATTATAAGTTTCGATTTATCAAAGTTTGAGTAGAACAGAATTAACATGAAAATTCGATGTACGGAAGCTTTGTACGAGAGTTTATAATTTTCCGATTGTAATGGCTTTGAAAGGAAAAAATTCCAGTGGTCTTCGAGTTGTAGAGGTCCGAGTTATCGAGGTTCGACTGTATAATATTCGATGAGACTACCGTTAGTCTTTTTCTTGCATTCTTTAATCAATGTGAAACTAAAGTAACAAATAAATATAAATGCATAAGTAATCATGTAAATGTATGTTACAGAATTAATACCGAAAGATTTAGAAAGGGAATTACGTAACGTATATGTGTGCGCGTGTGAGCTATTGAGGCACTTTTGGCGAAGTTTTCCTCCAACAACACCGCAGCTTGAAGAAAAAGCGATCAGAATGCACGAAGCTTTACTCAGATTTCATTCCGCTAAGCTAAAGCTCTTTGAAGTAAGTAGATTTAGATAAGTTTATATAACATGAGTATAGTAGCATGTATTGTACGAAATTCAATATTCTACAATATACAAATCCCATTTCTTCCCAGGATCGTGTGCAAAGGGAGTTCTCTGCGGTTAGTCAACACTTGACGAGTCATCTGAATCAATTGTTAACTACCGCGCATAGGAAGTTTGCGGTATGGCAGCAGCGAAAAATGCAAATGAGGTAGCCCTTCGTTATGATTCCGTAAAATAATAACGTAAATAAAAAAAAACAGCAATATTGATCGCATATTGCATTTCTTAATGTTACCGTAATTAGATATTAATGTCGATGTATTTTACAAGAACAGGAAAAAAAACCAAAGTTACGCCGGGTCCACGCGTCCCGGTACTACCGCATATACTGTTTATTTATTCTTTTTTTAAACGCGTTCATAACTTTTTCAAATTTTCTTTCAAACTCGGCCAAATCCAATTGCAACCGACGATATGTATTAACTTGCAATTATCTCTATAAAAACAGTGTAACAGCTTATTTATTTACTTCTAGTAGATTGTACGATACCATTTAAATGCGTATACACATACATTTGAAAACGCACGATTGTTCCAAAATATCTATGCTCCGGGAAACGTAATGTGTTTATAAATTTTATGCAAGAAAATGATATGTAGTTGCATACAGTCATCATCTATAAATATGCAACTGTGTTTTTGTTCAAGTTACTAGTTGTGAGGGAGACGGGCGACTGCAAATATTGTACGATATCAAAGTAACTGTGATACCGCCACTGTCAGGTCTGTAGTTAATGTATTTGTTCGGCATGATAATGTATCGCATTCTATTGCAATCTACTGTATTGGCTGTATTATTTTGTTGATTCGCACAGAACAATTTGATAACTATTTGTTTACTCTTCAATTGTTCCTTTTCATAATGAATGAAAGTTTAAAACGAGTCTTTTGTCATAATTGCGATTGAGCCAATACGTTTAAATGCATCTCATTTGCATCTCTAAATATGTCTCGACGATATTAGATTTTTTTTCTTTTACTTATCCTATCTCGAGGACACAGTGGCATTGGTATACTTTTTTATGATATCTGCGATATACTCAACTAAGTGTCTTAATTGTTGAATCCTATTTTTCTCTCGTGCTACCGGGTAAGGCGATCTGTAAGTTCTTCTTAAACTGCCTACTCGGTCTTCAATAGCAATAAAATTTGGCAGTTTGTAAGAATATAAGTGATACTATCTCAATTGATAAACGAGCGATCATACTCGTGCATTACGCTATTATAATTATTACTTAAGAGGTAATAATTATAAATATATTCTTACATTATGATTATAATAAATGTTATTATTGTGATGACGAATTTTCAATATCATCTCGATCTTTTTTATTCTAGCCTTCCTGTTTTTTTTTTTATATGTATTTAAGAGGATGCTTAAGCCGTCTGTTTTATCGACAAAAATACCATTTTTGTTGGTTACTATAATTACTTCGTATTGATCGCATAGAATAAAATTTCCTTTTCCACGATTAAAACACACATGCTAATGTATCTGGCTCTGATGCATTTTATACTAAAAACGGGAAAAAAATGAAATAATTACAGATTTCGTTATCCATTTTAAAGCGATGCCGGAAGGTCGGAAAAATTTGCACGAGGTCGATAAAGTAGACTCTTCAGTGGTATCTCTAAATGAACTTCTTACAATATCTTCTGGTCTCACTCAAACACGTGGAATGTCCTTATCTAACTTATTGAAGTGCCATCTCTTGGAAAATCCGGCACTACTGTCAAAAGATCGGAAGAGCACAC